ACTGTGTGCTGTTGTAGAATTGCTAGGTTGCTAGTGAATTCTGAGTTGTAGTTAATTGATTTATTGGTTATTGGTTATTGTTTGGATTGTTGAATTGAACCGGCTAGATTTAATAAGTATGGGATCATTGAATTGATTGAGTTGGTTTAATTGTTTTATGTTTTCCGCATGTTGTATTGATCCAATTGAGGATTATTATKTGTGATGATAATAATCTGAAGGGAAATTTTTAAATTTTTGGTCGGGTCGTTTCAAAATAGATAAAAAGTACTCGAGTGCATCGTACCAAGTAAGACCCAACCCAACTACAGAACGTGGAACCCGATATCCAAACTTGGGTAGGTGTCTATAAATATGCTATTTCATTCATAAAAGGGATCTGAATTCGAACATTGGGAAAGACCTTTTATACTAGCTCATTTCTATCGAGTTTAAAGTTCATTCCTTTGAGTTTTAGTTCTTATTTCTGATTGTTTAGGATTTTTCTCAGATTTCTATTCTTTCCCGGTCATCTCACAGTTGGAAGTATAAAGATACTTTGTATTCCCTCTTCTACCTCACCACCAAATTTCTCTCTCAAACTCTCAGAAACTCCATGGACCATCTCTTGTTTGGCCTGGAATCACCTATTTTCCTCTTTTCTGTTTTCCAACATTCTCTTCTTTTGCTCTCCACGACTTCTTGTATTCTCTCTTTTCTTTTGCTCTTCGAAACACATATTTTTATTTTTTTTGTTGATTATGTTACATGAAACACATTTTTTTTTGTTGATTATGTTTTTTTTTGATAAACCGTAGAAGTTCCTAAATTTTGGCTCATAATCGTTTTGGTACCCGATGCCAGCGTTTAAATATTTTTATTTAAAGAATAATCTTCCATCTCAAAAAGAATTTAAACTCAGGATATAAGAGAACTAACCCTTTTATGTTACCACTAAACCACTACACTTTTGGTATTGTTGATTATGTTACATAACCATTCATGGTAAAAAACACGAAGTTTTTTCTAAACTGATTTCAATAATTTAAATATGGAACAATACTTTAGATAAATAACCATAGCTATATGTTTTGATTTTGATCTAGTTTTGAATTCAGTTATTTGTGATGACTGATGATCTTTTTTTTTAACTCTATAAAATATTAATGTGTTTTTACTGTACGTATTTCAAATATTGGAAAGAATACTAATTAATCATTTTTAAAAATTTACATCCAATCAATCATATATGCAAACATCATTTATACATATGTTTTTGTTGATGACGTTACATCCCATTCGTGGTAAAATAATACTAAAAGTGCGAAAAGTTCAAATCGATATCAATCATCCAAATATGAAACTACACTTTCAACAAAATAGGCATCACCATATGTTTTGGACT